GTATTGTCAAAGGGTTCATTTGCACTTTGAGACACAGAACCGTTAATTCTAGTCCAGCTATTGTCCATTGTAAGATTTTGCTATGGTAAGAGTCTCTTAACCTGAACATCAATGAGGCATCAGTCACCTCAAGACCCAGAGAAATTGATTTTATTAATACTTTTGCATCATGCTAAATATTTCTTTGTAAAGTGCTTATTTTGTACTTATTTGTACTTTTGTGCTTATTCTGGATAAGTTTTGAAGAAGAATATGGTTTAATCGACCAGTGTCCGAGGCCTGTTTGGCCACATGCTTGTCATGACTTACAAGTAACACTTTTCATTGCTTGTTTGTCTTTATATCACAAACAATTACAGCAATGACAGAAATATGGCTGACATTTATTAAGATAACAGAAATTAGTTATTTCATTTTCCCGTCTAACCACTATGATCTTCCCGAAGTTTTTCTGTTATAAGTTAGATCACCGACACTTGACTCCAGTTAATAAGGAACTGGATCTGCCTTGGCGCTTCTCCATTAAATTCATAAGGCTAAAGCCGCCGAATGGTAGTCATCAAATGCAGTCGTTGTAACGTGATTCCTGCCTGACGATTATTTAAATATGTCAAAAGTGACTGGACGTTAAACAGATCGTTATTTGCTCGCATTCCTCGAGTTCCCGTTGGCTAATAAATAGAGGAACAGTTGTTCTTGTAACTCCAGATCTACCTTGCGTCCAAACAAAGAAACACGAAGTAAAGAGGAAAAAGTTAGACTGAAGTCATGGCACTCCACTGGTTGTTTGTTCTGTTATTCTGTTTTGTGTGGAGAACTAACGGTAAGTACTTTACTGATATATTTTTTCCTAAAATATTTGAGAATTTTACTATTGCTTCACTCTTCATAGTTCAGGTTTAATGTTCTTTTAACATCGAACCAAATTTTAATTTTCAATATGAAACTACTGTCTCGTTTCTCCTATCAAAAACACAACTAATTTTATTCTTAAGAGTAATCTCTCGTCCAGATCACCTAGCTTCCAAGAAAGGTCCTTTACTCATAATCAAGATTTTTTTCAATGGTTTTTCCTTTGTTCTCGTCTTCACCTTCGTCTTGTGGAGTATAACAGAGCATGTTTCATTTACTTGTAAATTCATTATTTTCGTGTTGTGGTCTCAGTCTTACATTCCGGAGAACAAGACTGTTTGACCGCAGCGTAACGGAAAGGACTACTAATATTGTTAAAAATTTAATTTTGAAGACAAGTATTGAATTGGATTCATCAGTTGATTAAGAGCCCCACCGTGAAACGCCACTGTTAACACCATTTATTTTGAAGACAAGTAGCAATCAATATTTTTTTTAATGTAAGATTTTCTAACAAGTTCTAGAACGAGGCGTTGCCTTTTCGCAATAAAAATGGTCATGTGTTGAAGTTTTTGACGTTAGAGGATCGMAAATCTTTTCATCACTATCGAGTGTGTGCGTAGTTTTAACAACGACGTCCTCTTAACAGACTTGTTATCAATTTATCGTTTTTTTGAGTGACACCGTATTGACTGTGTTGGTGTTGTCCAAATGACTGGAATTCCCCTTCACGAAAGATATATAATATATATACCACCTTGTATAAATTGCGATAAATCGTATCGTATTGTTTATTTTTGCACAGAGCAGAAAAAGTAGATTCAGTTTCAATTTGTGGTTAATGTTTTTTAGACGTATTACCAGGTCTTGCGTTCCCTGATTGACTTTGACGCGACCTTGCGAACTACATCCTCTGTTGAGGATGGGCCGCATTCCTCTCAAGTTTTATCCCGTCGGTACAATCGAGCCTGTTTCACATATCTGTTCAAGAGTTCATACCTATTCCTTAGAAACTAAACCTTAAAAAATTTCTTAAATCAGTTAGTTATTCTGTAATCATAACAGTTTTTTCGAAAAGCCTTAAAAAATTATTTATCTGGTTTATGGCAATTTTCATGTTTTGGTTAGTGTCGTTACTCAAACGTTTCGTAATGTCTCGTAATTTGAATACTGTTGCCAATAAATATGAACCAAAGCGCACATTACATAAAGGGTATATAGGGCTACAAGCATTAGATTTGATTGAATTATTATGAAATTATTAAACGTTTACTCGTGAAATTTTAAATAATTTAATTTCTAACAAAAATTCAACAACTACAACGTAAGAAAATAGAAACAAATAATAGAGACAATGACTGATACGTGGGCAATCTCGTACCCCTTTATTTCTTACTGCGCATGCTCGAAATAAAGGTTCTGGGTTCGATATTGATACGGGGGGAAAATAAAATAGAGTTGCGGGATGGGGGGGGGGGGGGGAGACTTGACATTTCCCCCTAAATATACGTGAAAATGAATTAAGAAAATTACCTAATACATAGTATATATATATACCTATAATATATTTGGAATCAAACACTCATGTACTATTAGTATAAGGTGCCAAATAAAATTGTATTGTATTGTATTGTATTATAAATATTACACATGATTTCCAAAGGTATTGATTGAGGTTATCACAGGTTTGGTTTAGGTTTCTAGCCAGGAGGTCTTCTATCTTTTCTATTATCAAACGATAAACTACAGTGATGACAGATTTGATAATTGATTGCGTCGCTGATTAATTAGGCTCATTTTGTACTCATTCGTTCGTTCTGGGATAAGATTTGTGTCGGATTACATTACTACAATTTAGCCTGCGTAGCCGCTTACTCAGGCTTGCTACCAAATATGTCATTTTTGAGCTGAAGCTCATGCCCACTGGATTTTGAAACCACAAACAGGCAGATCACTAATAACTCATTTAGAATACTTTTTGACTAAAAGATAAGAGACTTAAAAATTTATAATAATTTTCCTTACAGGGTTGTACGTATCGGAGGACGAGAAGCTTGTGAGAAAAATTCGATCTACTGACGACTACGACCAGTTGTACAAGGAACATCTTGCGAATCTTAAACCTGGTCAAGTAATGCCGCATCGTAAGTAACATAGGAAACCCAGACCTTAAATATTTGATGAATGCTGACAAAATATCACATTGGGCATATACAGGGTGTGCGTATACTAGGTATGGCTGCTGTAAAGATGGAAAAACACGAGCTTTTGGGCCAAACGGAAAGGGCTGTGATAGTAAGTATTCTTTATTGATCCATTAACACGTGGTTTACGCTTACTTCAGAGAAGTAAGATTAAAAGAAGCCAAATGCTAATAATCAAATCACAACTGTAATCTTCAAATATATATTTATACACTTTTGTACATATTTGGGTACTAAATAAACTATGTATGTAAACTATGTATGTAATAACGATTACGATATTATTTTCCTAGTGATTCTTTGCACTGATAAATACGTTCAACAATGTTATGATAAGAAAGAAAGCAAAAGGCTGGAGTGCACGAGACTCCGAGACAAAAAGAATTGTCTCTTCAGCTGTGGGCTGTGCAGTAAGTATCTCAGTCTTAACATATCGCTATGCAAGATACAAAGATTAATTGATTATTTTGACTTTTCTTTAAGAGCCACCAGCCGCACCTCTAAAGAGATGTCTGAAGAAAAAACCAGTTGCTGGTTGCTGTTGGAATGGAAAAATCCCACTTAAACGCGATAAATCCGATTGCCCTCGTAAGTATTCCGGATCTATGCTTGCTTGGTTGGCAGCACTCATAGTGTAGATAGAGATACTATTCCCGCAACAGGCTCAAGAGGATATAGAGAAGCCACTTTAGAACAACTGTCATTCTCATATTATTATTGTCTAAGATTTCATGCCTGGTGCTTTATATGTCTTTTTTCCCCCGACAGCTTGTTTAGACGCTTACCCAAAGACATGTGCAACCTTTTCAAAAGTAGCTGGGGGGTGCAATGCCGGCTCGTTTGGTGTTCGCAATTTCATGATCAAATACTGTCCCTCTACTTGTGCATTTTGCGAAGGTTAGTACCTGACTTGCTCTCATCAAGTCTTCATAGAATTCAATATTTTAAGGCATTTTCTAAGTTTAGTCAATAGTCCCCTTCACCGTTCCCTTTGCCATCTTGAAAGGTAACAGTGTGTGCATCTTAGCGAGAACAGAGGTGACGTTGCAATGTCTTTTTTTTAATACCTCGTACCTCGCTTACATGCACAACAACGTTTACCTTTCAAGATGGCGCAGTTAGCTGTGAAGGAACTATTCCAAATTCTTTGTTAACCAAGAATATGACAGTTTTTCGTCATTAAAGTATAAGATTTAAGAGGTTCGGATAAAAATAGGTAAATATGATGGGGAGAGATGAGGAACAGAGTATTAAATAGTTTCGTCCTATTCATTTCAATCTTCATTTTTTCCTATAGAAGCTTCCATGACCTGATTGTATGGTGTGCTAAAGTGAAATACACCAGTAATCTCTGGGTTTCACAGTCTGTACAGTACTGGCCGCGTCGTAGTTCTGAGCAGTTCACTAGTGAGATTCTTTCTGCATGCATCCAGAACAAGGATGAGCAAAGACATGTAAGAACTGGTTAAGTTTATCGAACAAGAAAAATATATGATCATAATTAAGGYCAAATTAATAAATAATTTCTATCCTGGGTACTTAATTTATTCCTATGAATAATATTTGTGGCCAAGACAACTGAGTCGCATGAAACATTATATTGTTTGTATATAATCGTTCCTTAAATTTCGGTAATTTGCTAAGTAATTGAAAATAACATGAATATGCAACAAGTGTGAGTACTATACGTACTTCATAATGAAATGTAAACTAATCTCGCAAAAAAAGATAAGAGAGAGAGAAAAAAAAAGCAGAATATGATAATCAAAATAGACAAATAAATTGGGACAAATATACACCTGATTGAAAAAACGTTGTCGGGTTCAAAAAAAGGTTATATCATCAAAGCTAAGACCGAAGGGAAGCATGGGAAGACAAACGATTATGCTAATTTCATGCGTATTGCAGTTTTCCCTTCCTGCAATTCTTCCTCTATTTTTGCTATAATACAGAGTTTAAGATTCTCGTTTACGGTAAACGTGAAACGTCAGTTGATCATCAAACATTCTTTAAAATTAGTGAAAAGGAATCGCAAAAATCTCCAAGCAGTAGATAAACAAAAGAATACTTGTCTTTGTCGAGAAGGTTTGTAAAAGGTAAAGTGAAATGTAGCCAACGATGAAAACGTGGTCACGTTTGCCGTTTGCGGGAAGGAAAAACGGGAATCTTAATCTGCCTAATAGAGAGTTTTAGATTTACTCACGGCAAACGTGAAACGTCAGTTGACCAGTGAAAAATTATTTTAAATAGCTCAGAAAGAATCGCAAAAAAGTTAAAGTAGTAGAAAGACAAAACAATATTTGTGTGTAGTGAGAAATTTTGCAAAAATTCAAGTAAAATACAGGAAAAAGATGAAAACGTGGTCACGTTTGCCGTTTGCGGGAAGAAAAAAAAGTCAATCTAAAACTCTCTCTTAACTATATATTGACCTCGCATTTATAATGAGCAATTCAGTTCAATACATCAACCTCGCCCATGCAGGTTATATTTTTTTTACATCTTTTTTTATTTATTGTTATTTTTAAGTCAAATATATAAACATTTGATAGACAATCTTCTCAGATTGAAAAATAAAATACTAATTAATTACCTCGAAAATCGGCAATAAGCTTGTGGCCCTCGGGATGTATATGGCTTGATTGCCTCCGTTCTCGGTAATTAACTCTAACTTATTGCGAGGATTGCACCTAAGAGACTAACTGAAACTGGTGGCTCTTGTTCCATGGTCCAAGTGGAATGTAGGAGTCAGTGATTTTTGAAATAAAATGTAATCTAATTGTATCGATACACTGAAACTACTTCTGGCCTGAATAAAATCCAGGCCGAATGACTCACAGATCGAAGTGGAACCAGTAGTGAGAGTGTTAGATTTTGCTGCAACAAACTCTACTCAAGTGAAATGTCTACGTAATTAGTTCAGTAATTCCTTTGCTAACTCTCTGAAAAGCTGACAAACCTTATAGGATTAGCTTAGAAAACACCTCCCTCCCTTTTACTTACAGGCTTAGAGCTTAGAAAACACCTCCCTTCCTTTTACTTACAGACTTAGAGCTTAGAAAACACCTCCCTCCCTTTTGCTTACAGAATTAGAGCTTAGAAAACAACTCCCTCCCTTTTACTTACAGGCTTAGAGCTTAGAAAACACCTCCCTCCCTTTTACTTACGGACTTAGAGCTTAGAAAACACCTCTCTTCCTTTTACTTACANCTCCCTCCCTTTTACTTACGGACTTAGAGCTTAGAAAACACCTCTCTTCCTTTTACTTACAGGCTTAGAGCTTAGAAAACACCTCCCTCCCTTTTGATTACAGACTTAGAGCTTAGAAAACACCTCCCTTTTACTTAAAACCTTAGCTTAGAAGAGTGGGTATTCTGTAATAACTCACACCTACCTTACTGAGACTATATTCACTGATCTACCCTGAGCCAACTGAAGTTTATTCAAAGGGGGAAAGAAAAACACTTCCACAGAAACAGAACACTACTGACTTAGATAACGATATGTCCTTAAATATGCTTTAAAAAGTATTATCTGTTGTATCTGTTTTTCGTCTTGCTTTAGTGTAGAATATTGATCGACTTTCTCTAATCAAAAGCCGGACAAATTCCAATCCTGAACCGGAAAGCCCAAGTCGGAAAGCCGAATAAACCCCCCGCCAGACACGCCAAAGAGCAGTAGAACGTGCTCCACGTCACGATATACCCAAGTAATAGACGATTATACTTCAGATAGGTTAGGTATCCACTAAGTGTCTTTTTAAATAGTGAGAAGCGAAAGAAAACGTGATTGAAAATAATAGGCTCAACAGCTAATGTAAAGTGGGGACATAAGAAAATCGCATGAACATAGATGCGCAGATATTCCATTATATATGTTAACTATTCTTATCTTATCTTGTTTCATAAGCTGTTAAAAAAAGACATATGACAGATTCATGCGCAAATTTCTTTTCAAAACAACAAGCTTGCGTTCTTTGAATGTCTGGGGAAACGTGGCGATGGAGCCGTTCAAATGCAGCCAAGGGCAAAATGAAATACTGTACACTATGAATCCACCATTAAACATGAGTCACAAACGTGCACGCGTCTAAAACATGGCTACCGTTTGCAACGTAATATCACATCGGCACATACAAACACATTTTTATGGGTATAAATGATATGATTATTCAACGTGTACCAAGTACTTTACAGCTGTACCTGAAGGACTTATGTCACCAAAAACGATCCTACTTTACCAACACTGTCTGCAATATTCCGCTCAATGTCGCAACGTGTGTCTGCTCACAATGCGTAAAAATGTGTTACCGTCTTTCATGTGATTTATATAATTGATAAGAACAGTTACAGTGAAAAACTTAATATTCGATAGTACGATAATCGTCACTATTTTTTTTTTTTTTTTTCTCGTTTCCAAATGAAAACTATATTCAAGCTTAGCCAGGTGAGCGGTGAACGCGGCACGCAAAGCATGCGAAATTGAAATGAAATTGTTTTCATTCTTCTATATTTCTGCTTCTCGTAGACACGTGCATTATATTTTGATTAGAAAATAAATAAAGATATGGGTTATCGTAGCTTGAAAATGAGAGCCGGTCGTAAAACAGCTATACGCGCTATGATTTACTGAAACAAAATTCACCGCTCAGTTTGGGTGGGATGCTATAGTGGGGTATAAGAGCAATAAGCCTATGTGTAAATTATTCTGTTTCTTGACATAGAAGAAAAGCATATTGCTTATGATAGAAGAGATGCACAAGCCCCTAACACCTAGTATCCTACGCAGCCGCAGCGTTGCGTAAAGACACTAATAGCGCAGCGCACTGATTCTAAAAATAGCTTAAAGATTCGGACAAACATTGCATTCTGTTTAACCGCTACGAGTATTATACGAACCGATTTTATTATTTTTACTTAAAGTTACAATAATAACCCATGTAAACTAAGATCAACTGCGATCGGCTGTGAAAATTATCTGCTGAAAGTAAACTAGTAAGTTTGTTTGTCCGAATTTCGCCTTTGTCTTCGTTTTTGTGACGTCACGGTTGCGCTGCGCTATAGCAGCTGCGTAGTAAGAGACTACCTGTCACCTCACTCGTGTAAGCTGTTATTACTAACTAATTCTATGAGAAGGCGATCGACATCCAACCAAGATAAGCTTCTTATTAGACATTTTTATGGTGATTATATGATTCACTTAAAACCACTTGTTAATTTAATTAAGGAAACTGTTGGAACAAGACCAACAACAACAACAACAACAACTTTATTTTGTACCATTCTCTTATAGGATTTACAGCTTTTATATATATATATATATACACTTGATTGCAGAAAGGTTGTAGTATACATTTATACAAATACCTAATTTATTCAGTATATTTAATGATATGCAAAACAGAAAACTCGCTTTATTTATTATTTGTTTCATTCAATGAACGTCAAAATATTTTATTATTGTGTTTTATATCCTACAGATTATAAACCAATTGGTTTCGAGGGTTAAAAAAGTAAAATTGCAATATGCATCTCATTAGGTATTTGTATAAATGTATAAATGTATACTACAACGTTTCTGCAATCGAGTGTAACTTATTTAGT